CGGACGGGAGACCGTGGGGTTCTCTCGGGTTTTAGTTCTGGGGGGGGGGAAGATGGAGCTGCGGCTCCTGAGTGGGGTCTCGGTACACTGCCGCTGCTTCTCGGAGGTGGGTAAGTTACTAATTGCTGTTCCCAGCCCCCGACTTCTTTTTTTTAATCTACAGACAGGTCCTTATGTAGAACACCGTGTAAATCCAGTGGTCCCCCCCTCCCTCCCCTTCCCCCTTTAAAATAACAGTCAACCAGCAATACCTGACCCCACGGTCCTTCCTTTTTCTTGTGAAAATCTATACATCCGCCCCAACGCGGTTTATAGCACTGGCAATACCCTCCTGACTTTGATTTGGCTCAAGACAGAGACATTTTGGGTGCAAGGCGTATTTGTAGGATGCTCCATAAGAATCTCCTTGCTATGCAGTGGAAGTTAAATAAAACTTGGTTTCCATATTCATCCTAGTTAGCTCTTTGCTCTAAGAGAGGTTTGGAAACACTTTTCTAAGAACCTGAAAGCTGCAGTTAGGGATGTTGGCCTCTCCAGAAAGATGCATCCTGAAGATAGGTGCATAAAACTTCTTTGCATTTCATTTTACTGCATTTCTTTCCTGTATTCTTGAGTTATAAATATAACCTGTTGCAGTTCTTCCAGCTGCAGCACCCGTGTTTTCTGTAGGGGTTTGTTTTCCCTTTGTTGCCTTGCGGTGGTGTGGCTTGTGACTGCAGGGAAGGTGGCAGGTTGTACGGGGTGGACATTGCCTGTGCCACCACGGAGCCAGCACACACCTGCAAACCGAGGAGCCCCACAGCTAATAACAGCAGAAATCTCTTTATACTGTACCTGTTGTCTTGTTCGCCCGGTCAACATACCGAACTCCTCCACCATTCCATCCTCTACTGAAAGATGTTTGCATGGGAGCACTGAAGGGCTCAGGGAAACAACTGAAACTATTCATTCTGAGTATTTTAGGAATTCTGTCTAAAGCCCCGTCGATGTTAGGACACGTCATGAACTGTACTAAATACGTAACTAATATCATGATAATGATAAAGTGCAGTTTGTAGTTACAGCTGAAGGATCTCCATTAGTTGGGCAGATATTGGCCAGATATGATACTTATTTTCTAATTTAGTTTAATGAGAGGATAATTTAAAAGAAACTTCTCTAAATGTGTTAATAGGGGGGAAAAATGTATTTAACTTCGTTCCATTGATGTGTAACTCACAAAAATATGAGGCTTTACAAAAGGAAAGAAAGAAGGCAAAGATAAAAATACTGTAGCCATAGCCCACTTAAATTCACTGTGCTTGTCACTGTTTCTCCAGCTGAAATCATCTGCAGCAGGGAAAATAAAAATTATAAATTTAAAAAGAAAACAAAACTAGAAGGCATCCTAAGAATGTTGACTGCCACATGATGTTCATTCTTCCTGAGGGTAAAGGTATTGAACAGATTACTGGGAGGATTTATTTTTTCCATATTAGAGAATTCTTTGCATTTCAGATGAGAGCGGAGGAATGCTTCCAGGGTTTCCAGCAGCGCAGGTCTCGCCTTGCGTGGCAGTATTTTATAATCCAATTTATATAAAACATCTTGATGAAGAGGGAGCTAGCTGGAAGTTACAGGGCTGATGTTTACAGGAGCTGCGGGAGACTCTTAGCAATAATGCCTTTGAATTGTTTCGTTTACTGGTAACACAAACTGAAAACTCCATGTAAGATGCAAGTTTTCACGGCTCGTTTATTTCTGTCTGTAGGTTTTCAGTGCTGCCTGCCCACCTGGTACTGGGCAAGGTGAAGGCATGAGAAGAGCCTAAAGGGATAAAAAATGAAATGTGAAAAGATCAAGTCTGTGGTCTCTGAGCTTACACTGCCTTTTTTTTTTTTTTCTTTAGTCGCTGCTCCGAGTAGTTTAAGACTTTCTGTTATTCTGATTGGGTATTTATCTCACATCGAGCTTCATTAGGAGAAGGAGTGTCTGGAAGACAAGGTGTGATAGAGATCTGGAGAAGGGAAATAGGGAACTGTATTTGCTGTTCTGTGTAACAGAAGAACCGTGTCACTTGACAAAATGACTAGAAGCAGACTTAAAAGCAGCAAGAATGTGTTTTACAGGGGGCGTAATTGGGCTGTAGACCTGATTGCCACTGATTGTGGTAGAGACCAAGAGTGTAAATGGTAAATGGATTGAAAAGGGTCTTGGGCAGGCTCATAGAGGAATGTCCATGGACTGGGTCTTCCTGCCCTTTCCACTGCTGTCAGAGGCAGGCTGCCACCCTGGACAGGTCTGTGGTCTGACCCACATAGCTGAGATCCCCTCCTGCTTTTTGGGGGGTTTCATTATAATCACTATACCTCTGTGAATTTGGAGGGCTTGGTTGGACTTTGGTTGGTTTTACAGTTACTGGGACAAATGAGATTTTACGTGTCCCACAGTTAAAGTTGCTTTCCCTCTGTCATGACACTCCGGATTCCCTGTTCTTGCTCTTCTCCTGGCTTAGCCATCCTTCCCCAGGTCTGTAAGGCAGATGCTAACAAGGTGATACTGGCTGGGGAAGTGTTTTGCTTGGATGCCTCGAAAGATCTGTGAAGCCATTTCAAAAGCAGCAGTATTCAGGCAGCTGCTTTAAAGGCAGGATGTATTACATTTTTTCGCTGTTCATCTCTGTGTGTGTGAAGTCTCATACCCTTCTGCACACTGGCTTTGACACGGCAGTCGTCATTTTCTCAGAAAAACAATTTGTCCAGATTTTGTAATTATTATATAAACAGATTTCGTGCATGAATTCCCAGGGGTTTCATCTTGACATTCCTTCGGAGAAGATTAAGTACAAACTCTTGTCAAACTGAATTTAATCAGAAGGTTTTTAAGTCAGTCTGATAAGTAGGTATAGCTCATTTAGAGTCCTCAACTTTTATCCTTAACTACCTGTCAAAGTAATTTTGCTAGTTCTTTATTAATAAATTTTGTCTGCCAAAAAGGCCTATAGCTTTACTCAGCCAATAAGTTGATGAAAGATGAAAGAAGCAGAAGTTTTAATTTGTTTAGGCTTCCTGTTGTTGAATGTTTCATTAGACAAAGCGTAGTTTTATGGTAGTTTAATACTTAAAAAGACAAACTGTTTTTTGTTTTAAGAAATGGGCACTGGGATGAGAAAATTATTTCCAGTGGTTTTCGTGCCTCAGGGCACCCAGAAGCATCACCAGAAATTTCCCATATGCAGCCCAGGGCAGCAACTCCCTCATGTTGATTCTGTCCCTGGTTTGGAGCAGGAAAAGGTGTTTCCTTGCAGAGCATCCCATACCAGCAAACCTTCTGCCCACTTCACATGCGTAAGACAAAATGTAATAGGACATTGGCCTATAGACAGGTCCGCTCTCTCCATATCAAAATATACGATGCACATCAAGCCAAAACTTCATTATTTTTTTTTTTTAATGTAAGAGAAGCACCATCCTCTACTGGGTATGTGTAAGAGTAGCAGAGTGTTGTCCATAGCCAGGTGGGAGCTCTTTGACATGTAGTGCTTGCGTGGTCCCCTGTGGGTGTAGTGCTCATCTAGCTTACGTGCCCACTCATCAATTTTCTGCAATTCTCTTTTTTCTTTCCTTGCTCTGCCATAACTAAAAGCATCATCAGGTGAAAACACCCCCACTGCAGACGATCACGAAACCATAGCTGACCAAACACAGTTGGACCCAGTGGAGGATGTGAGTCTTGCCTCTGAGGAGGCAAACCCAGGCAAGCATCTGCCAGGAGAGGAGGCCGCAGCCGTGATTCTGGCCGTAGAGGGAAAGATCGATTCGGTCAGTAAAAGAGAGGAACCGGAGGGCACCGAGCCCCTGCCTGCAGGAGTGGAGGAGAGCTCTGAGCTGCCATCTGCTTGGAGAGAGGAGAGCAATGGGCCTTCACCTCCAGCACCGGGAGAAGATGTGTCTTCACCTCCAGCACCAGGAGAAGATGCTGGGTCACCATCACCAGGACCAGCAGAGGACAGTGGGCTGGTAGAGGGCAGTGACAGCTCTGTAGTGGAAATCATCAAGAAAGTACATATTACTGAAGAGGACCACCTCATTGAGGGTAATATTTGTGCTTTCATAAATTCAGGAGACCAAATTCTGCCTCCAGGGACTTGTGTGTGGGTCCTTCTCACTTTACTGAGAGCCTCACATGAGCTTCTGGAGTCAGAATTTGGTCCAGAGAGTCTGTACAATGTGGGGCGTAGAAGAATGTGGCTGGGGAAGCCTCAGACTCACAAGTCCAAGCTGTAATAAATTTAATCAGCATTTCCAGTCATTATCTCTGCTATTTCATTTCATGCCCTTTTTGCTCTTAGCAGCTACAATGCCCCACCATACCCCTCGTTTAAAATGTTGTGTTTCTGTGTAGCTCAGACACGATCCTTAATATTTACAGAGACCAAAGGCTGTATTACTTAGTTACGTGTGTTAATTAGAAAGCAACTGACCCGGTGCACATGAAGTTGGAGTGTGCATATTTGGATGCAGAAGAAAAAGCTTCTCTTTGATGCACCCTTGGCGAATCCAGCCTGTCCTAGAAAGTTGGCTACTACCCAGGCAGAATAGATGTAGCAGGGGGGTGGGCTTTCCAAAAATGTTTGGAGCTGAGTAGCTGGGGAGGAAGCAGCGGTCTCTGAGATGGCAGGTATTTACATGTGCTGTGAGAAGGACCTTTACTGGGAGGTACGGTCATTGCCAGAGATTGCAGGCTGTGCCCATCTTTGGCTTAGTGCCCAGAGGACGTGTGTGGACTGCACATGCAGAAGGTGAACACTTCACAGGAGGAATCAGTTTTCTTCTAAATGGTACAAAGCAATCAGATACTTCCCAGGGGAGCATTTCTTCAGGGAATAAGCAGGTGAAGAGTATGAGAAGTATTTCTCTGCAGGGAAAGGTGGTATCAGCAGCCTTCCTCACACCACATTTGCCTCGGAGAAGTGTGAGATGCAGGAGAAGGACACACTGCCCTAACCTTGACGCTTTGCTGTGCACGTCTCTCAACTGAGTATATAACTCTGACTCTTTGCACTTTGGTAGCTGAGCATGGGGGTTGGCTTGTCCTCTCCTGTGTCTCCTCTCAAAGGAGTTTTGAAGTTTCCTCTACATAAGATGAGCACCTATCCTTTGGAATGAAGTCTTGGTTTATGTAAGCAGAAAATGACTGGATGCTCACCTGTAAAACACATAGTCTTGCCTAGCTGGAAACTCCAAATTCATTAATCACCCTTTCTAAGCTTTGTGGCCTAGTGCTGGAGGCAGAGCAGTGTGCCCTGAACATTGTGGAATGACCTCATGTCCATGGGAACACTTTTACAATTGACTGTTTGCCTGAAGATCGGTTACGGGGCATTGGCCACCAAGCCATTCATGCTCCTTGCAGGGCGAGTGAACAAGGCTTTTGGGAAAAAGAGTTTTGCTCCTATTTGTTCCAAGCAGGAAGTAATATTTTAACTGTGAGCATTACCTTTCTGTGAGGTATGTGATGCAGAAGGGACCTTCAATTTTTATGCTGTGGTGCACATAATATTTAGCACTTGTTTTGCTTTCCTTTATTCAGTAGTTGTCCAAGTAAATCAATTAGGTAGCAGTTTCCCAGGGAAAGCACAGTTTCAGCCAGACTTTGGCATGTTGCCATGTTTTCTATTTCTGCTTTTGTTCCAATTGCAAATAAAACTGCACATACATAAAATAAAATCCAGGAAAAATAATTTGAACAGAAATAGTATTCATGATTTGTATTGAATAGAGCATCAAGGGGATTTTGTGAAAGCATCAGGAGAACTTTACGGGCGTGAGGCATGCACGTAGCTGGATGAGAAGTGATGGGACCATTCCGTTTGTTCCCTATGGATTCATTCAGGGGTTACCTTGGTCAGAGGCATTGGAGAGCTGACCGAGTACACTCAGGTTTGCAGAAAGGAGCTGGGGCACTTGGTGTTCTTCTCAGTGGATCCTAATTTGATCTCCATGGTTACCGTTCCCAGGTGAGACGGGAGAACAGGTGGAAACTGAGCTGCTGAGTGAGATAGTAAGTGGAGGGCCTGAAACAAAAGAAGAAGAAACAGGAGAAGCTGTGGATGGTGCAGCAGCGACAGAGATAGGTATGTTGACAGAAGAGGGAAGGACCACATGGGTTATTGTTTAGGAGACAGAAAAGACTGTGCTGTCCTTAATGAGCACGTCTTGTCATCCCGCTGCCGGTATACGGCTGCTTTCTGCATTTTAACAGAGAGAGTCATGAATATTTTTGTTCACATTAGGAGATGTTTTTGGAAGCACTCAATTGGAAGTCATGCTTTTTACATGGGTTGTCTTTATCTAATACATGAGTCTTACCAGTGATAAATTACCCTTCTTTGGGGAGAATGCTAGACTGCAACATGCAGTCATGGAAAATAAAGACCTATGTTAAAATCATGACTCTGCTCGTTAGTACTTGCAGACTTAGGAGCTAATGCATTACACTGTTTTGTGTTTTCCATTCTATGTCAGACAGTCATTTTAGATCCCCTCGTTCTCCTTATCATCTGAAATCAGCAGTGTAGCACTGGGATGGAAGCTCATTGCACACCAAATGCAGTCACATTATGGGAAGGAAAAATCATATGCCAAACAAAGCACCTTTGGAAAAATCACACCAGTGACGAGTTCAAGGGGGTAGACTGTCCCTCTGGCAGACTTAAAAATTATGTTCACAATTCTGTCATCACAGTCTTTCTGTAAAAGTTGTTTCTTTTTCCACATTCACTAAGAATCCTCCACTCATTTATTTTGAGTCCATCACATCAGGTAGTTGCATGCCCCAGAAGGCAGAGGTTGCCCCATGGTATTGCTGGAATGTGGAAAAGGAGGAGCAGGCAATGCAGACACCTCCTCCCTTCTCCCAGCGAATGTTACCACAATGATTGAAACTGCTTTTCCCCTCTCTTCTCCCTCCTAACCATTGTCCTATGTAGCCATGCTCAAAATTTCTCTGAGCTAGTGAGTATTTCTGTAATTCAGAAGAGAAAAGCTCCAGCAGGAAGGGTGAGAGGTATCTTACAGCAGCACCTCCATGACTTCCAAATGAACCTCTTGCACTTGGGATGAGAGGTTTTTTGTTCCTTCCAGTGCTAATGTAAGCTCTGGTCTTTGAGCTGACAGCAGCAAGCCAGCGTGTTCCACCTGTGCTACAGGATTAAGGAAAATGGTTTGCAGCATGAGCTCTGCAGCCTGGCAGACCAGCAGGGTGGTGGTTAAGTGGTTTGGTCAAGGCACATGTGGATTTATGACCTCGTGATTACTCAAGTAGACTTAGATAAGCAGTGAGCAAAAAAAAAAAACGCTCACCTGCCTTTAATTCTCGTCTGCTTAACAGTTGATCACCTTTATATTGTTACTTATTAAGCTAGCCTGTGAAGACAAGCCACTGTTTGCCCTTGGCAACTGTGCTCTTGCAGGATCTTTAAATTTTTGTCATATAGATTTGCCTGTGAAGACTGAAAAAGTTTATTCATTCAACTTGTTTTTAATGTGTTGCCCCTAAGCTTTTGCAAAGAGATATTTATCTGTGCTGCGAGTTCAGCAAACCAGTTACTTCTGGGAACCCTCAAAGAACAGCATCCTGCTTCTGAAGAGTAAGAGATTCCATCACGTAATGATTACAGCTTTATTGAAATACTTTCTGCATTTACCTGCCTTGGCAATATGCTCCCCAACAGTTTTGTAAGGAAGCAGAAAGAGCAGCCCTGCTTCTATGTCCGTAACACATTTCAGATGACAGGAGTGCACCGGTGCAGGCAGCTCAGAGAACAGCTGTGGGCAAGAAAAGCAAACAATGTTAAGAATGGAACAGTGGCCATTTAAATCTGGGGTGCCGTTGTGTAAGGAAGCAATTCTTCCATCTTGAAAGGATATTGAAGAACTAAAACAAGATTCTGGGCAGGGAAGCAAGATCGCTAAAGGGAATGGAAAAATTCTTACCCTGAGAGAGATCAAAAACATTCAGAGCCTCTGAGAGGGTACGGCTAAGGGGATATGAGCTGATACTCATGCAAAATAAATACTGCTCTAAAGATAGCTGAGGTCCATCTCTGAACGAGGGAATGCTCGTTAACACAATAGATGTGTTGAATTCAAAGCCACAAAAAGGTACTTTTTTTCCACACTATGTAAGCAGTGTTCATGCAAATGAACTGTCAGACTCTTTGCCACAGGAAGTCACTGCAGTTGGATGTCTCTCTCCCATCACCTTCCCTGTGTCCTTGTGGTAATACCACCATTCACTACAAGGAAATCCCATGTTCCCAACCTCTCCTTGCAAGGTCTTCTGTCTGGGAAAGAAGTACCTTGAGCTGGAGTGGTCCAACAGTATGATTTCTGTCACTCATCCCTTTGGGCACCATCTTTTAGCAAGCAAAGCCTGTGAGACTCAAGAGCTTCTCCACTGCTGGTGGCCAACACATACAGTTCCAGGGGCTGAGTGCAGCTCCTCAACCATACTCTATCATGGAATAGTTGAGTTAGGAGGGTATCTCTGGAGATTTTCTAGTCCAGCCCCTCTGCTCAAAGGTGGAGCAGGTTGTCCTGTTGGGTTTTGAATATCACCGAGGATGGAGATTCCACAAACTCTGTGGACAGCCTGTTCCAATCAGTCAATTGCCCTTACAGTAAAAAAAAAACCAAAAAGTTTTCTTACATTTAAATATAATACCCGTTTTTGAATTTATGCCCTTTGACTCTTGTCCTTATTTAAGATTTAGTGTCCATGAGAGCTCTGCCTCTGTGTCAAATATGACTGAAACTAACGAGTGATTTCAAAAGTTAAGAGAAAAGGCAGCAGGGTGGGGAGAAGCATGAGTGTTGCAGCAGAACTGGATTTCACAGAGGTGATGTCGATGTGTAAGAGGAAGACCATGTATGAATGGGATGAGGGAAGAGGAAGCAGAGCCAGTTGCTGCTTGTGGCTGCTGCAGGATCACACAAAACACCCGTACAGATCTGGGAGAAGAGCAGATACCCCTTCATCCCGTGATTCTTCCAGGGAACTTTCACTTTGAATTCCTGTAAGATTTAATGAATATCAAGTTGTACCCTCAATTAATTGTTAAATTAATTTTTTCCATGTGTTTCAGAGACAGCTAATAACAAGGAATAGAAGTTATGTCGCTATGAACATCCTCTTCTTGGGCCTGCTCTTCTGTCCACATGAACATTTTTAAATTTTATTGGGTTGGGAAAATAGAAAAGCTTTTATGAATTGAGCCACAAGCAACAGAAATGAATAAGAGGCATCAGAAAAAGTTTTATATAATATCTGTTTTTTGAAATCAAGCTGCCAAGACTTGAAGTGATTGAAATACCTGAACTTTCACCTCCCTGCCACGGTGTGTCTTCTGTACATAACTAACCTTTGAAACTTTCAACCAGCATTATATATGATAAAGGAGATAGTGTTGCTTTTTTCTTTTTTGATGGTAGTATGCAGGCAATTTCTCCAAGTGCCTGGACTACCAATGTATGGAGCTGCTGAAATGTATAGCACGCGGAAGACTGGAAGATGAAAGTGCCCAATTCCTGGGATGTAACTAAATGCAGAGGTTAGGTTTTTTTTCTGAAAATGGAAGATATAGAGGGTGCAGTGTCCAGGACCCAAGTGGGGGACTGCTGCTCACTCTCCTTTTTTAAACACAAATTTTTTGCAAGGCTAGTAGCACCGTCTAGGTGATGACTCCTGCAAAAATAGGGAGAAGAGGGCATTTTTAACTATGACTAGGGTGTTTTAGTCTTATAAATTCTAGTACACAAAATACAAAGCTAACTGCACAGCTGTTAACATTCATGGTGATTAATAACATGTCTTTAGCTGTGTAGCTCCTCATAGGCATTTGTGGCTTCTAAAATTGATTTCTAACCAGAGACATATCTAAGCCTGTTCCCAAAGGAGAGGTCATCTATTTTGTTTCCTGTAGTGCTGTCCTTCAGAAGAAGTATGCTATCAGGGACTGGCTTGGTTATTTTCCAAAATGCTAAATAATCATTTTGGAACTGAAGCTGAATCACAATGCTTTCAAACAAATTTCCTGTGAAAACGGGCCCTGAATATAATTGATGTTACACACCTGATAGAGAGTAGAGGTTTGTTCTGATGGTGAATGTTGCAAAGGGACTATATGTTATCATTAAGAACTGTGTTTACAGGATTCTCTGGCATAAGGAGGTAGAATAAGGAGAAAAGGTCAGTTATCTAAAAAGGGCAAGCATGTGTTGCTATTTTATTAGCTTTATTGTACAAAAGGACTTCACAAAGGCTGTCAATAGCAAATTATACAAATCCCCTCTAGGAGCTAAATTTTGTGCTGCATGTGCACATCTGAGCCCAGCTGACTTCAGTTTGTATCAAATAATCTAATTGATATCCCTGGCCTGTCAGCCTTTTCTGTAAACTGATATTCCTTGGCTGTATCACTAAATCTGAGGTTTTCTGCTTATCGGCACACTTATGAATTTGTCAGCTTCATTTATTGTCAACTTTCTGTAGGTAATACCATAAACTTTTAGAATAAAAATGCATACTTTCAGGGTTTTTTTAGGATTTTTTTTGGTAGGTGGATGTCGCAGAGTTTTATTTTTTATTTTTACTAGCCTTCTATAATAGAGAAGTTAAAACAAGCAGCTAGTTCTCATGAAAATCTATTGACATTAAAGTGGGAATAAAAAATTCATAAGTAGTCAAACTTTATGCCCACGTGCCCAAATCATCCCATGACAAAAAGCCATGAGAAACGTACCATGCACTTGGGAGAGCTGAAGGAGTTGGGGAACAGGCACTGAGCAGGAGGAGGACTCCCCAGGATGATACAGGACTAGGCTGGGTGTACAACCAGGATCCAGGACACCCCAGGAACTTCCACCATCAGCTCCTTCTGGTGGCTGGTTTCCTCCTGTCAGCTGGGAATTCGGTTCAGCCACCAGCACCTGTGCCAGCGTGGTCCTGCTCCCAAACATGGGAGATAAAATCTGCAGAGCAGCCGTGCTGGCTACTTGCAAGCTGTGTTTTAGATCATGACTTGCGGGTTGACCAGTTACATTGAACAATTTAAAACCATAAATCAAGAGGAATTCTGTGACAGAGACCCATAGCATTAATAGCAACAGAGGACACTGCACTTGGAAATAAATTATGAATATACAAGGGAGTCAAAATAAACTGCTCACCTCAGAGTCACTCTTCCTGCCACTGCTGTTACAAGGAAGACAGGTGGCAATATACGTCCTTTCCTTACTGTTCAACTTTTTCAGGTGATTAAGCAATGCTAATTGGAAACAAGAAAAGTATAATCCAGTCAATGACTCAACAATATCAGCCATTCTCAGTTATCTTCAGTCTTCACATATTCTGTGATTACAACAATGAAAGCTATTTTTCCTTTTCCTTTCTAAAAGATGAAATATGCTTGACACTGTGCTAAACATGAAATGTTAATCACTTAAATTACCATAAAATCGGAATTTGGCTGCTAGAGGTATGCTGAACATCCCTACCTCGAGAAATCCACTAGGATTCTCATGTTCCCGTACTATGTACTATGCATAAAGGGCCAAAATAGGTGCAGTTCTTTGCCTCTGCAAACCTGGGACATCACAGAGATTGCCAAGGGCAGAAATTGTTCTGTGGATCAAAGAGCTTTCTCTTTTAAAGGCTGAGAAAAGGGTATGCTCCAGTGTCTGTGTTTACAAGATAAATCTCCAAAGACAAGGCAACTCACTGTAATATTTTTTTTTAAACATAATCAAGATACAAAACAATCTTCAGAAATGTTTATGAAAAACTAGACAATTTGGGGGCCCTTAACTTTATCCCAGGTGGAGGTTATCATTCCATGCCACAGGAAGTATTGGGCAGGACACAAAGAATAAACTTCCAAGCTAACAAGAAAGTTCTGGTAGGAATTTTGTTTCGATTCCCAATAAACACAGCCCTGGAAGAGGTTAAATTTGCACCCCGTTGGCTCTTTGCAGACACACACACAGGTTGTGTTAGGATCCCAGAAGATAGTTGGTGTTCTGGCTGGCAGGGGTTGGCTCTTTCACTCAGTGAAGAACTGCTTTCAGGTAGAAACTGCAGCAGGAGCAAGGTGCTTGTAGCAGAAGTTTCAAGCGGTTTAAGTCTGGCTATGTGTTTTAACAGAGAAAGTTTTATTAAAATTATGTACTGAGCTTTATTTTTGCATTGTTTAATCTATAGAGAATATAATATTTTTAAAAAAAACCAAAACATTATTACAAAGAAACCTGGTAGAATATGCAAATTTAAGTATTGCTTTACTTTCACAGAAACAGAGAAGCTGTTTTGTTGTTTTCTTGAGTTACATGTGACTAAAACAAATTTTAAATGGTGAAATTAGTTTGTCAGAAGCTGAATTGCAACTTCATATTTTGCATGCTAGAGGCTGAGTCCAGCAAAGAAAAAAAAAAGAAAGCTAAGTTCAACTTAGCTCTAGTTAAAACAGGATTTCTTAAATGTCTGTGTACTTTGCTGTACTGAGACCTAAGGGATATCCACAATACTTGCTTTTCATATTGGAGAATTACGGGGCTTTGACTTCTTGTCTTAAAGAATAGAATCAAATAATATAACTCTGCTTAAAAAATAAAAGTTTTAAACATCTCTATGGAAGGCTGATTGTTTATGTTGAGAACTGCTCTGTTACAGCTGTAAATAAAAGAGTTTATTTCAGTTATTCTAGAGTTCCAGTACCCGGAGAATGCACATTGAGATCCGAGGCATTCAAGAAAAAAAGCTAATTGATACTCTTGCATTTTTCCTGGAAACCATGTGATTGTGCCGTGGCTTGTTAGCTGCATCCAGCATCCTTTTGTGTGGGTTTTGTTTTTTTTCCAGGAGTTTCACTTGCATTTCCGTCTCAGACTGTCCCGTGCTGCAGAAAGCAATGGTCTATGCACACTAGTGAGGACACCAGGAAGAGGTCTATACAGGACTTGTATCAGCAAATGGACAAGTCAGCACGTACCAAAAAAATACCAAAACTGCCATCTAGTGGCCCAAGGTTAGCCAAGAGGCAGCAAGGTTGGGGTGAAGAAAATGAGAGGTAAGGGATAACCGTAGCAAGACTGAAGTTCGCTCGTGTTCAACACTACTGAATTCTGCTGAAGGTGAACTTTAACTAAATCTCCTACAAATAAGTGAAATATAGTCCAACAAACTAACTACATCTGAGCAAAGCTGTAACAGAGGAATATAATTTAGGAATCTGTTTGAATCTAACTCCATTCAATCACCTTATTCTTAACTGACAAAGTGAAGCAACACTAGCTCTGTGGTCCCTAGAAAGTCATACTCACGTTAGCACTAGCTCCTTCCTAACAGGTCTGGGCATGATTTTTCTTAGATGGGATGGCCTCCTGAGTCCGAGCTGTAGAGCATAAAATACATTAATAGCATAGCCAAGGAGAGAGACCAAGAGCAGAAGCCAAGACTAATACAGATTATGTGTAGGAAGTTTATATACAGCAATCAGGTATTTTTCGAAGGCTGTTACTTGGAAACTCACTGTTTGAAATGCCAAAAGTATTATCCTGCTTCCAATACAAATAAATATCTCCCATTTTGTTGACGGAAACCAAGATAATGCTGAAAAAAAATCCATACATCTCTAAATATATGTTGCTGTGACCACCTCATTATTAATCTTTTTTCTGTAAGGATACAATTTACAAGTTCAGCAAAAAGCAGGAGAAAGAGCCACTTCACATCACATCTAGAAAGGGCTAAATAGGGTTGACTGTTCTCACAACTTCCCAACTGCCATCTGGTGTATGCTAAAGTGGTGCCAGGAATGAAGGAAACATAGAAAATACAGGTATGGCAGTAGTAGAAGTGGAGTAAGGAGAGCTGGAGAGCATGGCTGACAAGCAGGAATGTTACAAACCACAAGTGGGACACTTATAGATTATCCAAGGATGGAAGATGATTCACACGATGTGGCAGGGAATGCAGGGGGATTTTCAGACAAGGCAATATCTACAAAGGCACACAGCAACACGAGGCTGCAAGACTGGATTTATCATCTTTCATGCTTACCCTATGAAAATCACTAACCGATTGAGGGAGGTGATTCTGTCCCTCTACTCCACTCTCTTGAGACCCCACCCAGAGTACGGCATCCAGGTCTGGGGCCCTCAACACAGGAAGGACATGGACCTGTCGGAGCAAGTCCAGGAGGGCCACAAAGATGCCCAGAGGGCTGGAGAACCTCTCCTGTGAGGACAGGCTGAGAGAGTTGGGGTTGTTCAGCCTGGAGAAGAGGCAGCCCCAGGGAGACCTTACAGTGGCTTCTCAGTACCTGAAGGGGGCCTGCAGGAGAGATGGGGAGGGACTCTTCATCAGTTAGTGTAGTGACAGGACAAGGGGTAACGGTTTTAAACTGAAAAAGGGAAGATTTAGATTAGATATCAGGAAGAATTTTTTTACTCTCAGGCTGGTGAGACACTAGAACAGGTTGCCCAGAGAAGCTGTGGATGCCCCATCCCTGGAAGCGTTCAAGGCCAGGCTGGATGGGGCTTTGAGCAACCTGGTCTGGTGGGAGGTGTCCCTGGCCATGGCAGGGGGGTTGGAACTAAGGTCCCTTCCAACCCAAACCATTCGATGAAGGGTATGTGAGATGATGATCTGTAGGCATTATACACAGAAGACAAATGAACCACACACAGGAGAACTGAGGTTTGGATTTGAGCCATTGGACAGTTGAACTCACAGTATCGTGACTTGATGTGATAAACCAGAGTTACGCTCTATCCTTGTGATACGACTGGTTTTGTGGCTTACCAAAATTGAGTGAGTTTGGTCACATGAGATGGGAGCAGAGACAGATTCTGAAGTGCTCAGTCACAGCACTCTGGCAAACAAACAGCAGCCTCTGGAAGGAGCAGCCTCCGGGATTCCCTCTCACAGTACATTTCAGAAAGCAGGTACGTGTTTCTGCCACCGACAAGATACATTCCCCAAGCTGGCTTTGGAGCCAGTATATGGCTGTTTTTACTTTCTACACAAAGGAAGTGAAGATGCAGTGACAGTAGCATCCCATATGTAATTGCATAGCCATCTTCACAGAAGGGAGCAAAACAAAGACGTTGAGGCAGACAGACTATAACAGAACAGAATTTCTGCTCATTTCCCCCTGAATAAACCAATGCTGTGCTTAGTCACATGGCTGTGTGACATCAACTCTACCATGAGGCAGCTGACTTCCAAACTAGATCCTTAAAAACATGGCATCCATTTCTACTTGGTTGGAAGACAAATGCAGAGGGATGGGATAACTCCCTACCATCACCAGTCTGACTTCTCAAAATCACTTAATCACCCCATCAGGCAGATGCTTCTGTCCTTAATGGCAGAGAGAAAAACACCAAGAACGGTGATGTCATTATAGCTGAAAGCTTCTTGCCTTGGAGGATTACCTTCATCTTTAGCTATTAGGAGATAGATAATAACCCTATTATTTTGGTTTGAATTACTACTTATTGAAGAAGCAAGATAGGGATTTATTTTTTTTTTGTAATGGAATATCAAAGCATAACCAAGAAAAGTTTGTTCCCAGAATCGACAAACACAATTTTACAGATGCAATTATCATTTATTGTCATGAAATGGGATTATTTTTTGGTGTTTAGTTGGGTTTTAGTTTTTTTTTTTTAAATCAAAAGCTAGTAAAAGTTGAATTCTATGAAAACGATTATGAAAAAGGTTACACGTAGAGATTAATTTACAGCTGATTTATAAAGTTAGCACTTTGTTTCAGAAAAGCATAATTTTCTTTTTTCTGAAATTAATATTAACTTTTTTAAGTAATTGCTTCCATATGAAAAAAAAGTCCCAACTGTAATCTATTCTGTAAAGAAAGACTTTAAGACAGTTCAGAAACTAATCCAGCAAAATTCCCCAAAACACCTAAGTGAAAATATATAGAGTAAGTAATTTGTGTTCTACTGTTTACCATTTGTCATTTTTTTCTTATTTGAAATTCTTACTAAAAACCTGCTGTTACAAATCATTACAGTTTTCCATGTCCAGATGACCCACAGTATAACTGTCATGTTCACCCAAACCTGTATTTAATATCTGAATATCCAGTCACCGCCACAAAGTAAAGGCCCCGTCCTGCAATTGAGCTCAGCTGATTTTAGCAGGACTCCTGGAGGTTTCAGGGTTTGCCTGCACAGAACTCACTGCAAATTTATTATTTTTGAGAATCCAAGGCCACAATTCAGAAGAAAGCACCTTTCCTCAGTAAGTTTAGTGATTCCAACTGCACGTAACTGCTGTCAATTGTAGAAATAGGATGTTAGGGAGAAGTGTTAAATCTGAAGACTGCTGTTGGAGGATATTCAGTCTCTGTTTATAGTCAGGCTTGGAGAGGTCCCTGAACGGCAACAGCTTCAATCTCAACTCGGGCACCCTGTGAGAAACAATGAAGAAACCTATCAGGAATTTCATGGATCTCTTTTATGAAACAAGTGGATGTATAACACAACCTTTTTAGAACAGAGTGACATTTGAGGGAGGTTATACTTCTGATGATACTACCAATTTAGCAATGTTAAGTAATACTGAAAATTCACTTAAGTATCGTTAAGTGAATTTCATAATTATCACACCCCCCTATTTCTAGCATACTAGTCATCTTCCACCATAAAGAAATCTCTCTCTCATATTCAGATCTCTGATCTTGTGTAAGAAAAATACTGGTATACTTAGAAAAAAATTAAATACTTAAGAGTCTGCATTAAAATAATTGCAATTGAAGCTATTTTAGAATAAGAAAAGCTGTCAGAATGCTTCAGAAATATGGAATTTCAGAAAATACATTTTTTTTTTGTAGGCAGAAAAGTGACACTTACTTTTGGCAAAGCGGCAACTTGATACGCTGCTCTGGCTGGAAAGTTTGTCTTGAAAACTGTAATTCAAACAGAAACATCCAGCAACATTCGCCAATCACTCAACTTTGCTTGATGAAACACAGTTCAAAATAATTGGTATATAATACAGTCATTGGAACAGCTTCAAGTTCAAAGCTACAAGACAAATAGACTTCTGTGCCAGCTTTTTTTTGTTTTTTTTTTGGTTACTGACGAGTCCAACATCTCAGCAAGCTACCGTTGATCATCGAGAGGGCTAGTTGTGACCTAGCAGCCAGTGGTAACTTGCACTCTGCTGACTCTGCACAGCCTTAACACCACTGGGCTGAAAAAGAAACGTTAAATCAGAATGGTGAGCATCCAGTTGCAGAGTGGGAGAGGGCCCTTTCACAGACAGAGCAAGAGGGAGAAACAGGCCCCTACCAAAAGGGTCATGAGCAACGATTCCAGATTTGCCTAAAGTCAACAGGGACCAACCTTACTCATATCAAAGGCAGGCAGAGTTAAAATAGGCCCTTGCTCCATTCACAATTAGGATAGGCATTCAAGGATATTAAAAGAACAGAGGGAGGAGAAAAGACAGGGGGCTACTGGTCAAGATATAAGAGCTGAATGTCTAGAATCACAGAATAGTTTGGGTTGGAAGAGACCTTTAAAGATCATCTAGTCCAATCCATCCCCCTGCCATGGGCAAGGACATCTTTCACAAGAGCAGACTGCTTCAAGTCCTGTCCAACCTGACCTTGAACAGTTCCAAGGGATTTCAATAATTACATGGAAGTTACCACCAAGCACAGAAATGTTAATTGCACTGACAAGGCAGGATAAACACCCGCAATCAAAGAACAGCAACAACTGCTTGCTTGAACTACAGGTAGGAGGCAACAAGTAACTAAGTGTCCAGCTGGTCTTTTTTTACCCTGCTTCAACACACATACAGTTACATTTTGACATGCAGAAGAGTATGTTGATAGCTCAGAAATAGAAGACCTCATTAAAAACCAGATGTTACAATCTAATTAAAACCCAAAGCTATATAAATAACGACTCTTCCATCTTCTGCACAACATGGCTCATTGGAATCGCTTATTTCAGTCTACATTCAGTTTTGTTAACCAAGCACAATCCTCTTTTTTCCTGAAGTGAAGCAGTATGGCTCATCCTTGTATAAAAAACATGAGCCCGGTCCCATAGCACTAACCCACAAATCACTCCAAGATACAAACAGACTTTAAAGAAATGGAGATTAAACAATCTGAAATTAAGCATTTGAAGGCTGCCTATAGTAGAATTACTTTAGGGACAACACAGCAGCTGTCAAAGTAAAGAGGCATGGAAGATCAACCTTTCGGGATAGCAGGAGTTGATCCTCACATGACAGTGAGTTTGTGGGATGGTAGGAAACAAATCCACAAGAAATTGGGCTGTGCTTGATCTGGTGCTTGCAAATTACACGTTGGTGGGGTTTTTTTTCAAATGATATATTTCTACTGGAGTCTCAAAGAATCTGGAACTACATCATCTGAGTCATTAAAACATTTTGCTTACTGTGAATATAATTTGTTCCACAAGCCACACTGGTTAAAACAGAAACAAAAGATCTACTTACATTGTTGGTAAATCTCATTAATGTCATTGAAGTCCTTCATGTCTGCCATCAAAACCGTAGTCTTCACAACTAGAAATGACATACCTCCTGTTATTTTGGACCTCTGACTTTCATAAATTCCTCTCAAATATTCTAAATGTTTTGAAAAGTTTTGCAAAAAAACTTTAGAGTTACCACCTAGAGAACCATCTAAAAAATCTGAATACCTAGTACACAATACAACTTTAAGGAATTAGACATTCCTGGCCAGCTCTGAAAAGAAACCTTTAAATTTTGTTCTAAGCCTAATTCTTCCAAAAGGCACAGAACTGATAAGCAGGTCAAATTAAAAAAAAAAAAAAAAACTGTTGTAAGCCAACTGTTGGCAAAAATTACATCATATAAAATACCTGCTGCCAATGAAAAGCTCTGTAAGAGGCCTGAAGACATAATCTATCCTAGAAGCTTTTACCCATGACTGCCCAAGCCAACATTAATCCTGGTTTGGCTCCACTATCAGAGTCCTCCTCAAAAAAAGGCATTGAAAGTGCCTAGAATATTAACACCATAGATGCAGACCCGCTTTTACCTGTAGGAAAATCTAGGATGCTTAAAATGCCTGTAGTCTCTGTCTATATTGAGCTTCATCAGTTAGAATTAAAATATTAGTACTGTGTACAGGAAGTTATGGTTAAAAGTAGTGTCCCATTGATACGCATCACAAACATTTGCACTTTGAATTCTTTCTTTTCTTTTTTAATCCAGACTCATGATTCTTTCTGTCTCCTTCAGCTATTGCCACATGCTTAGCAAAGAGCTTTTTTTTCCTTTAAAAGGTCACTTCATTATTCTTTTTAATCCAGGCAGATAAAAACAACCACTCATTTTCCACCACCATCGCAACACTTACCATTGCCATAGTCACAGCCTGCAGCTTTCAGGATTTCTCCCATGTTTTTTAGAGCCTAATGAAAAATGAGACAAAAATCTTTCAATATCTGGGTGGTATTTTGGTGAGTATGTAAATATGAATTGTAATCTGGCTACATCCATGTTATAGTATAAGTTTACCCAGCAAATCTTCAGCTGTCATCAACGAGTAAGCAAAATCAGAAATAGATTAAAAAGTAAATTAATAAAAGGGAGCTTCTAATAAACCACAAGTATTAAGCCATGCATTCATTACATGTAAATACATGATGCAGCACCATCTCATCCTACCTATTGCCTCACACAACCTCCTTGCTGCTGGGGGAACAAATCTTTCCCCATCTCAAAGCCAGGGTCTTTACTAGGGTATGAACTTTTGTTACAAACATTGATCCTTTCCTACCTGAAATGCAGATTCCTCCCCTGAGTTCCACACTGCTTGGGTGGAAAACAACAGGGACAGTATGGAATGACATCCTCCTGCTTTTCCCTCATCTTGGGGGATTGTGAAATGAGGGATCTTCAATTTCTCCTAAGTCTGCATTTAACAAAGTACATGCCAACTCTACTACAAGTTTACTGCTAGAAGACATCTTACCTGCTTAGCTTCTTCCTTTGCCCCTCCAGAGACAAGCTGCCCGGTGGAAGGTTCTATACCTATCTGTCCTGCAATGTACATTGTCCGGTCTACCAGCACTGCTTGGCTGAAAACATAAGTGACATTTTAAGTTTAATGTTTCCCCATCAAAACATTTAACTGTCTGAAAGCACACTTCACATATTCTTCAGTAGTTTATAGTATCTCAGAAAGATACAGGACATGCACAAGTCTGCACACAGTCATACATTCGATCTGCTTATGCTTTGGGAGACCTGGAATTAGATCACGTATGGAAAGACACAGATACATTAGCATAACTCTGTTTTTGAGATAATAAACCCCGTTTCTTGGAAAGGCAAAAGGCATGAGCACAGCAACACAACACTATAGACAGCTACACAGCTTCCATACAGCACAGAGAGGAGGCAGAGTAAACATTTTTTGTACCTGCCTATATAACTATTCCATCCCAGTTTGATAGGCTGACAATACCTTTCATCTACACCTCAGCTGCAGAGCAATGAAGTTTAAAAAATAATAATAATAATCAGAAAAGATCTGATTAGTAAATGTACCATTTTCTTCTCAAACAGGCACCATGATAAATGAGTTACAGCTGTGAGGTGAAGCCCTGCATGCTCATTCTCTGGCATTATTCATCCAGTCATGAATTTGGCCTGTCAGCACAACACCTTGATCACTCCATCCCCAGATCACTCTCCTCTCACAAAATAACCTGGACGACCTGTTGGCTGGGTTAGTTGAGAAGAATGCAGAATTCAAGCTACTTGTAAAACATTTTTATATAAATGTCAGATGTGTTTTTGCTGAAGTAGAGTTGGCAATTATCAATGTCTCTAATTACCACAAAGAGATTAAAAGATTAAAACAAAGATTTAAACTACTAGCAAACATTATGCAAGAGACATAATTTACTTCTCTTCAGATGGTAATTAAAAATATTTTGCAAAGAAATTAGACAAAGATTCTTTTGCAAGCATTTGTGGTGTGTCAACACTGTTCTCCTTAACACTTCCAATTCCAAAAGAAAATGCATTATTCTGACAGTTCAACAAGCGTCTCAAGTTACACAAACTAGAGTTAGGCACCTCCCTGAAGTATCTAAATTTTAATGTCAATGGAGAAAGAAAGACACTCTTTCAGAGAACATTTTTATTACATCTCTTCTCTTAATTGGGATTGACTCAGTTGGATTAGCTCAATCCATTGACTTGACAGGGGAATAACCTGATTTAGGGACTCAGTAAAATGATAATGATTAGACAATCCTAACAGTGCCATTTTACCCCTGTCCTACATTCTCCTGTCATTTCAGCCAGTAACCTATCCGATATAGTAAAATGTTACATGGTGATTATTTTCTCTATCATCAACTAATAAATTTGGAGTAAATCACAAAACTACACCATCTAAAGAAGAGAAACCAAGTGAATGAAGTAGTTTTCTAGCTAATGCAGACTTGTTGATATGAACCGAACACACATTACTTCTTCAATTTTATTTTCTTTCCTACAATGTCCTGCTTTGTTTTGGGCATAGGTCCCCAGACCACAAACTTCCATTTGTCTGAAGCACAGAGAACCACATAATAAGAAGGTATCTCTAAAAAAAGAGATTGTCTTGTACTGCGTATTGTAAAGTAAATGACACAATGAAACATTTATCCCAACAAAGGCCTTCCAACTATCCTAAATCATGAATAATTGGGGAAAAACCAAGCTGAAGCCTTCTGATACCAGTGCCAGATCAACATCTGCAGCAGCCTTAGTTGGTTCCCTTCTCTGCTCCTCAAGTGCTTACCAGTGGAACCCTCCATGCTCTGAAACTATTAACAATTTACCAACTAAAGACTATGCTTCTGCTGCAGTCAAATGCATGAGTGAAGCTCAGAGACACTTCAACTACACAAACCCCAATCACACTTTAACTGCAGATGTATCCTGTAACTAGGGTCAATCTTTGACCTTCGATTCAGCAGAGATCTGAGCGTGGGTCTAAAGTCATTCAGGTTTCAGTATACCTAAGTGCATAACTGGATGGACATTATGACCTTAGAAGAACATCATCCATCAGATAGATGGTGTTAAGAAGCATGCTCTTTAAAGACAATGACTGCAAAGGCAGTCACATCTTCTTTACATACATGACTGTTGATTAATACAAGAACAGCATCTCTGCTGTTTCTTTTAAAGTTTTAATTTAAAGTTCAGTATCATTAATGAGATGTATATATGTACACAGAAACACTCACACGTAGGAGTCTTTATATATCTATCTACCTGCCTATCTCAAGGTACTGGAAATTGTATGCAATAAAGGAAATATAAAAATACATTAAAAATAGGTCACCAAAAAGCATACTGAAGGACTGTAGCAGAACCAGTAATACAGCCCACACATCCCAATTCTTCATTCCATATTAAGCCCTCACTCCTCTGTTACCATGCTCAGACTCCATAGCAGTGATATAGCAGTTATTTCTTGTGCAACTTTTGCTCACTGGACTTTGACACATTTACCGAAACCTGATACACTAAGTTAGTGATAAACTTATTGAAGTTAGACCCATTATACAATTAACTGGCTGCATAACAAGCAGTATTTCATCAAGAACTACCAATAAGCACAAAATGTCGGAGAGCAGCTAATCCACAACGTAAGTGGAGAGCTATGATGAAGGTTAGGCCAGTTGGCATGTGTGTGTGTTTCCACACGTGTGTGCAGTTGAAGAACTGCTGCCGTCCTGTTAGATATTTTCTAGCTACAAGCAACGCCAGGCCCCTGGCTGAAATCCACCAACAGTTTACTGTTTACAGAAGTTAACTTTCATGTCATGTCTCTGTTTACCCACTTTGTGTTTGTCCATCTTTACTATAAAGAGCACAGAGTTCGAAACTCAGAAAGCTCAGTTTCAAAGTAATGGAGACAAAAAGGCATCTGGAAGGCTCTAAGATGCTACAAGTGGAAAAGTTAAAAACAAAGGTGAGTGGTTTTATATTGGGAAAACAAAGCCTGAATGCAGAATTAAAAACTCTTAGAAAATGTCCCGGGATAAATCCCTCAGTAACTTGGTTATAAGGTTCTACTATGGTTATTGAACATTTTTCACATCCAAATAGCAAAGACAAACTTTTATCCAACTAAAATTGGGTTTTTAACTACATTCAGAACTGTTGCAACTAACAATGTACTCGTGAAAAAGTTGAACGACATCTTATATATTTTTGCAGCAGTTAGTTTATAGACTGCAAAGCGTTTAGAACCTGTTGGCAGCCACCTTCAAAATGAGAAAAAGATTTGCAATTCCCAGGCAGTGAACTATCCAGCTGCCACAGCACATGCTGGATGGGGCCCAGCCTCCACTGTCCATCGCCTCCAGGGTCCCTGTTCACTGATAACCTGCCGAGGCAACATGCTTTTTCCTAGACAAGCATTTTTTTTCCTTGAGAGGAATAATTCTTTCTGTAGGGAGGGACACCCTCACTACAGCCCCCAGGACCGCCTGACAGACACACACCCCCCCCCCTCCAGAGACCCGCCTGAAAGCCTACCGGCAAAACCTACTCCCGCTTCTTCCAAGAGACTTCCCTCAGGCTAAGCCATACCTGTAGGGACCCAGAGCAGCGGGAGCCTTAGCAGTGTTGATTATTTTCTTCACGATCGAAGCCATAACTGCTGCTACGCTGCCGCTGCTGCTACTACTTCTGCCGCCGCCAGCCCCCTCCTGCCCTCCCCTCAGCACCCTGCCAATGGCTGCCTCCGCCCCCTGCACCGCGGGGGGTTCTGGGAATTGTAGTCACTCGGTGGTGGTGGGGGAAATGTGGTGGCGGGCTGTGCGCATGCGCAGTGCTCATCCCGGGGCGGCCGCGTATGGGAGGATGAGGCCGCGCCGCAGGGGGTTCTGGGAAATGTAGTCACCCTGTAGTGCGGGTGGTGTGGTGGTAGCGCCGTGCGCATGCGCGGTGCTCAGCCCGGGGCGGCCGCGTGTGGCGGGAGGAGGCCGCGCCGCGGGTGGGTGCCGGGCCGGTGCGTGGCCTGACCCTCCTCCCCGCACAGCCTCCCCCGCGCCCTGCCGGAGATGTCCGGGGCGAAGGAGAAGAAGCGGGCCAAGAAGATGAGGAACCAGCCGGTCAGCGTCACCCTTCCCGTCGAGCCGGGGCCCTTCCCCGGTGGTGGAAGGGCCTGCCCGCCCCCAGGTAGGGCTGCCGGACCCCCTACCCAGGGCCGGGGTGGATGATCGCGGAGCGGGTGTCCGTTCCCCCCCCCCTTCCCCCCCCA